TGGCTACTTGAAATTGATTGATATATAAATGATAATAAAGGAAACTTTATTTTTACAATTTGTTGACTACATATACAATTGTAAATTTCTCTTGAAAACAGGCAATTTACAACTGGCTGCTTGAATAAGATAACCTGAGGGAACTGTTGGGAAAGAAGACAAAGGAGATTTTGCGACGAATGCAGTTATCAGTAATATCGAGTACGCTTCATATTGCAAGGACATTTAATATTATCGTATAGATATATTTATCGGACTAATAGATAAGTATTTTAAACTTCACAGAACAATTTTTAGTATAGAACATTTTTCTTAAATTTACAAAAACTCTTATTTATTTATTTATYTTTCTTTTGAAATTACTAATCAGAGATCCATTTTATACATGTACATATATATTTAAATTTGATGGAAATTGTAAACAGCTCATGAATCCTATAGGCTACGCTTGTGCGCCCTATAGGATTTTTATAAATTTGCATACGTAAGTTTCAATAATCTGCACATAATAATAATAATAATAATAATAATAATAATAACAACGAATAGATGTTCGAGTAGTTGACAACGAGACGAAGACAGTAAATATCATAGATATGAGTTGTCCTTGGATAGAGAACAGGAAGCAGAAAGACCAGGAAAAGACCACCAAGTACGCACCTTTAAGATTGGAACTCAAACAGCAGCACAAGGGTTATACCAAAGATGTACTAGGAGCATACTCATCAGAAACCCGAGAAAATGTGAAACTACTCCTTGGCAAGACAAAAGCTGACAAGACTTTATTTAACATGCAAAAGTCTGTAATATCAAGTACATTTAACATTACAAGGACCTTTATAGTTCTCTCATAAAATGGTTCATCTCAACCGAACACTATTTATTAACTGTATATATGAATTTATTTTAGTTTATAATTTTTCGTTTTAATTAACATATCAATTTAGAGATATCATATAATATTTGATGTCTTATAAATATTCAATATGGACAATAGTGAACAGTTAGCGACAATTATTTATGAATGTAGATAGAATTTAATTTACAGTTTTAATACTGTAAATATATCTAGATAGGTTTTGTTTAGTCGGTCACAGCTAGCCTCGGCCTGACTGAATGTGATTATGCCAAGGCATCCTTAAGTATACAACTGCCATAATAATAATAAATGGCTGCTATGTAGCTTACGATCATGAGAAGTGATTGAGTCTGTAACAACGAATTAACATAAATTACCAAAAAAGGTAAATCAGACTCAGGCCTGCGCGGTAGTTTTTTACTTTCGAGTTTTGTTTTACACGTGCAAAATCATCCGTATTATTATTCGTTGATTTTTTCGTATCAGGTATGTAGCTAGTGCATTATTTCCCTTATATTCATATTAGTTTGTAATATTTTGTTTGTTTTTGTTTAGAAACCTCACTCGATTCATTCGATCAAATTACCCAACTTACCTTATACTGTGAACTTATTCTTCTTATTGTACTTCGACTGATTCACGTTAAATACAGAAATAGTTTCAACAACCCAGCGAGCGTTTCAACGTTTTTTAGTGTCTACAGAGTCATTACTATGTTTAGCCTCCACTACAGGATAGGACTATAGAATTACTAGAAGATAAGGTGTTGTATACGTTTTTGCTTTTGATTCCGGTTTATTGAGCGAAGAAAACATTGCATTTTGGTATTATTCTCTATATTTTCTTCAAATATTTTTAGCTATTTCTGTAAATAAATATTTAAGTATTATTAAAATAAATAAATGTTTAAGTGTTGAAACGAAAGAAATTTAAAAACATTTTTTTTACCAAATAATAGCTATTTATTATAATTTCGATTTCAGTAAAAAAAAATTTGCTTATTCGAAAATTTCATTTTTCTCTTCAAACGTCGAAAGGTTTTCTTTTCCAATGAATTGTTTGCGTCAGTCCGCGAATTAGCAATTTGAAAGTGAAAAGGTAGAGGGTCGAGAAAACCCCATCGAGCCACCTTAAACCGCCTGCAATTATTAAATAAAAATACCGCCTGATTATCAAATAGAAATACCGCTTGCATTGTAACACACTAGGAAATTTGGTGCACTGGTCATTTTATCATTTAATTTAACAATTTCACTATTAAATTGTTAGTTTTTCGATATATAGAGGATATTACATGGGCGCGCGGAGATACGAATTTTATCTTCGAGTGTTGAAAAGATCTCTCACGAGTGAGCGTAGCGAACGAGTGAGAAATTTTCAACACGAGAAGATAAAATTCGTATCTCCAAGCGGCCATGAAATATTCTGTTTATTATATAATTATCAATGAAGTATGTTTTGGCTTTTTCAGGCAATTCTTTCCGTGTATTTTTGAATAGCCATCGCAATGGTGTTATTTTCACACGTGAAAATAACATGTTATTTTCACGTGTGAAGATATCAATTTTTCGAAATAGAGAAAAACAGATATTTCATTGGTAATTATATAATAAAAGTATTTATTTTGGTTAGTCTTATGATTTCTATATTATTTTTTATATTATACATTTATATAGAATTATGTAAAGCGCTTACAATTGGCAACTAGTGGATCAAGCGCTATATGGGACCTATTTAAATAGGGCGTATGATTAGGATTATTATTATTACTTAGGTCACAGAGTAGATGTTTTTAGCAGAAGTTTTTAGTGAATCTTAGTTTTCGTCCGCTTTCTTCGTAAACTTACGAAAATGGCAATATTCAAATTTCATTTTTTTCAAAAACGAGGGACACCATTTGTTCTTGTGTTATTTTGAGTCAGCCATAAATTCTGTGTGAAACGTTCTCCTTTTTTTTTCTTAATTCCCCACGGCACTTGTCTTACGTTTCTAGAATTTGCTCCACAAAATTTCACAAAGCAAGTTTGGTTCCCCGGTAATAACAAGATACACGAAGTGTTTTCCAAGACAGTTGAGAGAGATAGACAGACATTTCTTGATAGAATAGCATAAAAATCAAAAGAGTTATTTATGAGCTGAAAGAATATTTCGAAAATTATTTATAAATTCGATGTTACGAACAAATTTTAGAAAATTTTATTAATTAGTGACAAACGCGCCATATTTCCCGCCAAGTTCTCAAGCATGCGCAGTACTTTGGTCTTGACGGTCTAAAAATATCATTCTGATTCATGTTGGGCGGGCTATGACTGGGGGGTCATTATTTTTGATATTATTGAAAAGAGACAATTCTTTTGCGAAGCTCTTTTAAACTGCTGACCTTCTTGCATGATATAACGACGACAACAGGTAATTTCTTCTGTCTTTGGTTCGCAACTTCAATTGGTAAAAGTAAGAGTTTTACGTATAGAGTGACTTAACATCGCTAACTTAACGCAAATCGATGCAATCACTCAATATTACCTATATTCTCTGATCTCCTTAATTCTTTAACAATTTCACTTTCAAAAATTCGTTGTCATCGCAAAAAGATCCACTTAATTTTCGCCAAGACATAAACAATACAATTCAGTTATTTATTTTAATTCTTTTACCAGATCAACCAAATATTTAGATCTTAAAATAACGTTTAGTAGGATAAGCAAATTTGATTTTTGAATATCTTCGGGTTGTTTGGAGATACATTAGGTCCGCAATAGAATGAAACTAGTTCTGTTCGATCAGATCTGACTAGATCTCGTTTCACATCAACTGGAACTCCTTTTCTCCTTGATTTTCTCAGTCTTTGCTTTAGGTGGCGTGTCCTCAGAACGTTTCCCGCCCTTTGCCATTAATAAACGAAAGAAAAGGGGTCACTAGTATAACTGACAACAAATAAATAGGAAAGCTTAAAACACACTATATTGTAAGGAAAAATAGTATACGCGTACAGCAAATCTTCAAGACGTAGACTAAAGGTCCTTTTCATCATTAGAGTCGAACCCAACGGTCTTAGCGGCCAGTTCTCAAATGGAAAGCGTCAGTTCTTGTAGCTGATTCGGGCCACGTTGGTCCAGTTCTTAGAACTGGCCGCACGGAGCGATTGCACTTGATAGAAAGCGCCTAAATAATAAAAGTGATAAATAATAACCACTTCGCTTAAATTGGTTTGGCGATAAAGAAAAACACTAAATTTACTCTTGTTATTGTGATTCCACTAGCTGGCTGCAATCATGCTCTTGACGACGATTATAGTTGGAATGGCTGTAATCTTTGGACCAGTATCAGCATCGGGTGAGTACCAAGTATATGTAAAAGCCCACCACTGCAGGACTGAATAAGAATAGGTGGAGGAAAATAAGGATAAATTAGAGTGCTAAACGAAGATGAAATATCTAATATTTTCCTATAATTTTATATTTTTGCCTTCATTAGAATAGTCTACAATTTTTAACCCTGTTATAAAGATTGAATATAAGAAAGCGTGGTGTTTGAAGATGCTCTTGCGCTTTTTCTAGCTCATCACGCTATTCGATTGCGTACGTGTTAATACTGAACTTGTTTAAAATGTGTGTTTTTAAAGAGCAAACTAAAAGGGCTTGTAAGATTGTAAACTGCAGAGCGAATGCGGCCTTGCAAGTTTTCTGTACTGCGAATAGTAGGTCTAGAGATCCTTCTACTTTGCGCACCTATTCTGCGCCAAACGTTTTTTCGGTATTAAACCCTCCATAACACCACCTTCAGTAATACTAAAGCATGTCATTTAAAATGCAATTGTATCTTGTTTAACAGAATCTTGGCGTTATGGCAAGACCAGTGGTGGTGGTGAGTAATTTGACTTGTTGCTATAGCAATTTATATTACATCATACTTGTTCAAACGTGCGCATGACAATACCAATTCTCATTAGTATGCAGATTATTGACTGACATCATTTATTTTTGACTCTTGTACTTAGTGTATGGTCCAGCAGATTGGGGTCACGTGTCCAGATATTGTAATGGTCGTGCCCAGTCTCCAGTTAATATTATCCGAGATAATATTGAATATGATGATGATGATGATGACCACGACTTGCGCGTTTCGTTCGCCAACGCGGGTGGCCTTGTGACAGGAACTCTTGTTGACAATGGACATTCTCCTACTTTAAAAGTGGACAGATCAAAAGGTACCTTTTTGCTCAGCACTTTCAGAAGAAGGCTTTTAGGAGTTCCCAATTGCAATTTTTATCCCCTGGTTTTTATTAGTCGTTCCGATGTCGAGGAAGAAACTGAGCAGAGCTAGACGAAATAGGCGTCATCTTGGAAATATGTCCCTACCAACTATACCCCGAGTTTTTCCTCAGCCTCGGAATAATAGGAAATAGTCGATAGTAAAAAGTATTCTCTTACAAACTTTTCAATTTCCTTTCGACTAACGGTTTTGATCAATGAACTTATTATATGTGGAGGGGAAACTAAAGTCTTTATTTTACGTCGTGTTAAGAGTCTTCATAGCCCAAGGCAAATGTTTAAATATACGACACATTCCACATTCACTATCAATACATTTAACATTCTAGACATGTCTAGAGCACTCAAAAAACAAAACATGTGCGGGTATTCGAGGAATTGAAACAGTGACCTAAGCTGTAGGACTCAGAGGTGAAAGACCAAAGTGTAAGCGTGTTTTACCCTTATTTCAAATATCGAAAAGTCATTAAAACTACAATATTTTTGAAAAGAGTAAGTTGCTCCGAGGTTAGGATCTTTATCTATTTTTCTACTTGAGAACTTTCCTAGATTCATGATCTCCTTCCTATATATCTTTTTCCAAGGTGGAGCAAGTGTGATCAATCCAGTTAATGGACAGAAGTACGTCCTCGTACAGTTTCACTTCCATTTTGGATGTACTGATAACGTTGGTTCAGAGCACACGATTGATGGCAAGCCTTACCCAGGAGAGGTTGGCATTTGTAGTACACCATATTATGTACACAGAATGCCAAGCTATTATTTTTTCAAACAACTCAACATTGTGTTTTTTCTTTTTTCAGCTTCACCTGGTGTTCTACAACGCCAAATATGGCGACTTTTCGACCGCTGCCACTAAAACAGACGGCTTGACAGTGATTGGTGTTTTCCTGAAAAAGGTAATGCACAGGCATTGCTTTGTCGATTAGCTTATAGTTCGTAGCTATCAAGTAATATCAAAGAATAAACTAATAGATATATAATTATCGTTGTACTTTATTCAGGGGTCTAGTGGAGGAGAAGAACTAAAGACGTTTTCACAGAATTTGAGGGCAATAATAAAAGAAGGTAGGAAATCCTGGAAAAAAATTCTGTTTATATTTTACAACCATGCAATAACTCCTCGTATGGGGCTCTTCCGGGAGTTTTGCTCTACACGTATTACGACGACACTAGTGCCGGCTACATTCACTATACTTACAACGATTTTACGGAGGGAGAAAAACCGGAGAACCTGGAGAAAAAATCAGTTACAAGAATTAAACCTGAAAACCATTTATGTTTTTTTTTAAATTTTATATGTACTGATATCTTTATGAAGTAAAATGAGAATAATAACTTTCACCGCAAAGAATCTTTTTTAGTTTCTCTACATGGATCTCAACAAGTTTATTTCTATCTTTTTTCAAGGATCTCAGAAAGCTGGAGTTGCCGCCAAACTGGATCACTTGGTTCCCGGTCTGTCGTCTGGTAACAGATCATACTACACATACAAAGGATCCCTGACTACCCCTGGATGCTATGAGTCTGTTAGATGGGTGGTACTCAGGACTCCTATCACTGCTGATCAAGAAATCGTAAGTATCAACATTGATATCAATGTTAAATATAGAGATGTAGTGAGTGGGGAGATGGTACTTTACAGACGTAGGAGTGCCGGGCTGTCTGTTAATATTGCCTGTAACGTGCAGAACGAGAAAAGTTAAATCCATATCGTCTTGGCAAATTGATCAAATGTGAACATCAGATTAATGAAATATTTGCGATAAAAATACTGTTTATTCAAGCAAATAATAAAGAATATTAACAGAACCTTTTTAACTGATTTTTTAAAGCAAACAGACTGTAATATATATTTACAAATGAAGCCTTACTAATTTAATAACGCATATCTTTAGGTTGGGCAAATGTGAATTTGTTATTTGGCCTAACGCTCATCTAAATAGAGCTTTCGTGGCGCAAGGAAAAACGACTGCAGGGCTGAAAACGCGGGAAAAAATTCGAATTTCCTTTTTTATTAATTTCTAAAAGATAGAATTTTTGATTATTATTCGCCTTATTTTAACACTCGAGCAGTTCCAAAATTACGTCACAACTTAAAGCTCTATATGTCTCTTACAAATTATTATATAAGATGATTAAAAAAATAATCCTCTTGGGAATGTCACCTGTATTTTTTCCCATCTCTACTTGGTCTTTTTCTTTATCATTATGTTATTTCTCTAAATTAAGGAAATTTCTGTATTGTTTTACAGCTGGATAATTTCAGAGCCCTTCAATCTACACATGGCTACTATCACGGCAAAATGTGCAACAACTACAGACCCACCCAACCCCTTAACGGACGAAAAATATCATTGCACGAATAAGTGTCAATGAAATTACGACTACTGATAAAAAAGTTGAGAAGTTATATTTACCCCTTTGCATTTGTTTGTCACTGACACGTTTGAAGAAGCGTGAAAGCCATGAGGATCACTATGCTGTATCTTTGAAAAGGGAGGATTTTTTAGCACACGTTGCAATTAACTGTATTAATGTAAGACACGGGTAACGACATTCTTGTGGTTTTTCTCCGCTTCCTATCAACTATATGGTTTTGCTCCAGGTTCCCCGGTTTTCCCTGTCATCTACCCTGTCCTCTGCAAAACTGATCCGCTTCTAAATTCTATTTCATTTTAGTGGAAGAAGAGCCCCTCCTCCTTTTATGTTCGGGTTAGATATTTTCCTTAGTTTTTAAAAAATATATTCCATTTTAAATCCGCAAAAATAACGATGATAATGAGTGGCTTAAGGCTATCAGAACGGTCATTTGAATAATGATTCTTTAACCAATAAGTGATCCAAAGCGTTACCATCTTACTAGAATGCTTCCTTCCAAGACGAATGAAGTAGGAAAGTCCCTTACTACAAAAAGAGCTAAATAATGTTAACTAACTTTTGGTGACGACGGTTTGGTAACTATTTTTTATAGTTTTTCCCAACCTTATCTCTGTCTTTCTGTCTCTCTCTTTCTCTTGCCTAAGTTTCAATCATTTACTAATATATCAACCGATTGGTTATTATGGAGATTATCACATGTTAAGAACTTGATATCGTTTTTATTCACGAGTTTTTCCGTATCATATCGCGAACGAGCGAGTCCTCGAGCTCGATATATAACACACACAAAATGTTTTATTGTCTTAAATATCCTTAACCGACTTACACCATTTCAAAATGTTAAATAATTATACGTTTCCAATTCAATATCATTCAAGATATTAAGCTTAATTAAAAATGTAAGAAGCACAAAATTCATCTTGAATTTGATAGAAATAAACACTAAATAGAGATTTATCTCGTCACTCTTGACTACTATCGTAGTCAAGTTACAGTTACTACAGTTTACGTGAAGTGATATCGTATCMCTTCACTGATATGGTTTTTATTCACGGCTTTATTTCACGGATATCGAGCTTAAATGTGTAATAAATTTAGTCTCTTGGTACCTCAATCCCACCAATTACCAAGAGCCTTATCCAAGCTACATTTTAGATGTAATCCAAGGACGCGAAATAGTGGAATAAGTTGAGCAGACTTCCTCAAATCCCTAAGGTAAGACTGTTTAAGATCACTTTAAAAAAGCTACTTTACGAAAATCGTTCATATACAGTCAATTCAAAAAACGTTGTCGTCGACC